TTATTTGAAGCATTTTTATCCTGAGCTGTTAAAGTATTATTAGAGAAAGGATAGAGGAAGCTAACAATACAGCATCAAAGATGTCTGCACCATCTCATTTTGCAGTGCATAGTCACATAGTCACAAACAATAGACACAATGAAATATGCCAAATAGCATGTTGATACAAACTACTTATAAAATATATATAAGACAAACTTTTCTACTTTAACATCCTGCATCAGGGTCAGTTCAGAAATGTTTCCACAGATTCAGTTTTGCACTTCCAAAAGTAGAGTGGGTTGGAGCTTCATTGTTTAAATATACATAAAAGCATGATAACCAAAGAAGCATCCATGCAGCTTGATGCTGTTTCTGATTTAACATTTGGGATTCATCTCATGGCAGGCTTTTGATTCAAACTCAAATGGATGCACTCCCAAGTTAGTCCTGCAATGTTTAGAAGCATGAACCTACTGAAAGTATTTCCAGTCTTTCCCTATACATTTGAGATGCTTTAAAGGGCCCATGTCATGCTTTTCCGGTTATTACCCGTCCCCTTGTGTGTTATGAAGGTTTTTATGCATGTAAACGGTGTGCAGAGTCAAAACCCTCAAAATACACCCTGTAGCGAGTAAAACTCTAACACAGAAAATACCTCCCCAAAACGCCTCGTTGGAGATACATCACTGCCCATTTGAGTCTTCCATTTAGTTCCGGGTACGGCATGATGTCATGCGGTACCCGGAACGAAATGGACCAATCCCGAAGAGCTATGGCCACACCCAGCGGCGCTGGCCGCACCCTCTGCCAGCCTAACATTTACTGTTGGAAGCTCTGGTTCAGTTCACAATCGATCCAGTCATGCCACTGCCAAGGACCTGTTTCCTGAAATGTGAGGAGAAATCTGAGCTGTTTGTCCTACCGACGGAAGAACCACGACGAAGTCAGTGGTTGACATTTCTTTTTAACACTTCCTTCAGAGGTTCGAAGAACGTTACTGTGTGCGCTGCATTTCACAGACGAAAGCTTCCAAAACATTGCCCAGTTTGAGGCCGGATATGCACAGCATTTGAAACTGAAGGACGATGCTATTCCTAGTTTGTTTGGACCGTTTGGAGCAGGGGAAGATTCGGGTACACAACCTGTAAGTTTGCATTGTTATTTGTGTATTTATCAAACAAGGTATCTACCACGACTGTTTAAATGTGTAAACAAGTGTCGGACTGCTAGCGTTTCCATATATCAACTCTAATATCAGCAGATGGCCTTACATACATGTATCTCATAGCAGGAGAATGTCTGCATTCACACACGAAATACTCATAGACAGTATATTCTGGGTGATTTACCGTACGGTCAGTACATTACAGTTGGCTTTCCTCCGAGCTACGCTGATAGCATGTATAGCTAACGAGGCTAGCTATACATGCTAGCGGAAAACATTGCATTCATGCCAGTTACAATGAATGACCGAACGTAGCAGAATACCCGTATAAGATTGCAATTATAAACACGTTATTGCTAGCCTAATATGAACCACTAGCTTTTGTTCATAGTAGTTTTATTACACTACATTATAGTTGCCGTTCCTCTGAGCTACCGTTCATATCTTGTTTGCTACCAAGGTAAACAAGAAAGCTAGGTTAGCATATTAGCTGGCAAGCTTACTGTGTTGATTAGATAGATGGATTAGATAGATCCACACTCCTACCACAACTACTACTAACGAATCTAAAACAACTAAGTTTCTCTAATATTTTGTGATTTGCATTTGATTTCGTCCAGCCAGATCCTGGCGGACAATACATGACGGGGACGGGACTACCACACTGAGGCCTCGTCCTAAAAAGCGCCGGCTGCGATAGGCAAGATGCCGACAACGGGGAGGAATGGATGATATACCGTGTATATATGTATATTTATGTTCATTTTGTACATTTCTAAAAATAAAGTTTGATGGAAATACTTAGTAGGCCTATCCTTTCTTCCCTGAATTATTTGCTCCTATAACATATCATTCATATATAGCAAACCATGATTTGATTTCTCATCAAACAGTAGTAGTTTATTACAGGTAAAAATAACTTACTCTTCTATAACAACAGTTGTAGGTACAGTTCGGTTAGTTAGCGTATAAAATATACGGCTGTACCGACGCCATTATAAGACTGTTGTTCCGAGAGCGAGCCGAAAAAAGCACTGTTAGACATGGGCGGAGCCTCTCTGGTGGTTGACTAATCAGAACAGAGTGGCCGAGCTGACCAATCGGAGCACACTAGGCTCACAGGGAGGGGGGGGCAAGAGCTCCAACGAGCCGTTTAGTGGAGAGAGTGAATACTGCTGAATACACATACTTTACAGAGATGCTGTATGCGAAACCAATGTGAGTTTGGAAAATTTCACAGTATAAATCTATTTTAGTATACCTCAACAATGTAATTATGATCAGTGGAAATTGTGGAGGAAACTTCTGTGTAGTAATGCATGGAGTCACCGACTCAGGAAGGAGACACGGTGAGAGTTGGAGCTTTGATGTCAAACACTGATGGGTTTATTCAGAGTATTCGGCCGGAGGATTCACATCACAAATCAAAGAGTCAGAGGTTCTGACCACACGGTAGAGTTGCCACGTCAATTCTGAAGAACCTCTCTCTATGCTAGACCTTTTAACTGGTTCACAGAGAGAAATCAACATCTCTCAAGGAGTAGACTAAACACTGAATTTGTGTCCGACACTCATGGCCTCAAGGATTTCACATCCTAGAGCGCACAAACACCGATAAAGAAGTTCCTCAGTGTTCCCACAACAATTACCCTTCGTGCCAGTCAAGTTGACCGGTCACACACTGGTGACAACAACACATATGGCACTAAGGCCTTTCCTTAAAGGAGATAACACATGTCAGAGTAAAAGGTTAGATATCTAGAAGAATTATTCCTTAACAGAAATGGCCATGACATGGGCCCTTTAACTCTTGCACATCACATCTCAATTGCCCTATAGTTAATTTTTGAATAAATTACCATAGTTCAAATAACTCCATGGACTTGTGCCCCGAAACTGTTCAGACATGCTGTGTGGTTGGAAGAGGCTGCTAACCAAGTGGTTGAGTGGATTGATAATCATGCTCTTGAGATTACCACAAAGAAAATACAGAAATAGTTTTTGGCTTCCCATCGGACTCTCATAAAGTGCTTGTGATCTATACTGAAACAATTAAGCAGGTGCTTTCATATAAATACTTAGGTGTAATGCTAGGCCATCTTCTACCCTGGAAAGACCACACTGAATAAATTGGTAGAAGGAATTGATGGTGTTCTACAGTACTGCCATACTACATCATGCCAGTACATGCTACATGTGTTTGTCCCCTGCTTTTAAGTCAAAATTGCTCCTCCAGTTAAAATCTGCTCAAAGACTTTATGTCCACAATTTGAGAGACTCTATTGTGCATCATTCAAACCTCGAATGGAGTTTAATCCCAGATCAACTGTAGGCTACTTTAAGGGGTCTTGGACATAATGTCTTAAGTAATAATGAGTTAAAGTAATAATGAGTTAAAGGGATGTTTCTTTGTATCTTTATCCTTTTTGATGTTGCAAATGGAGCTGCTGCGTTGCAAGAAGAATGTCCACTCTATCCGACAATAAAGTAGTATCCTATCGCATCGTAAGTGAACCAAAAGGCTATCCCCTTTCTGTATATAATTCTAATCTGGGTTGATGTGTTTTGTCTACTTTTTCACCACATTTGTTAATCTGCACCAATACACCAAACAAATTCCTTGTAGGTGAAAACCCAGTTGATTCTGAGTGAGATCACTGCAGGCTCAGTAACCATCAAAACAAAGTGAAGCAATGGCCGACCAACAGTTCCGTGAGGTCATCTTCAGGTGGGGTCAAACCGGTGTGCTTCTGCCCTCCCCCCACTTTAACAACACTGGCCCTCAGTGAGTCTTTACATTGCTGACACCACTGCAGGAGATGCTGCCACCTGCTGGACAGGGAAACAAAAGTGCATGCAAATCACAAAATCACAAGTCTCTCAGTTTGTATCAAAGACATAAATCCCACATCTCATCAATGTTTCAGTTCTGTACGTCTAATATGAATATCCATCATTCATTTTACTGCAGATCCTTCGTGGAATTCTTTCATATATATCTACAATGATTCCTGTGGTATGACGGACACTACTGTCACTTAATCCTAAATAGAAGGACACAGACTCACAATCCAATCTTCCATTCATCCAAAAGTCTGTGAGAAAAACATAACACATTAGAGTTTCTTCTAAAGGAACACTACCTACAATCTTACACAGTTAGTCCATTGCAAATAATATCTATTTTTTATTTGTTTTATTGTTTATTAGTATTGTCAGTTCTGCACAACCCTCTGGATATCTTTGCACATTTGTATCTAGACAGCTTTCCCCTCTCCATAACAATACCGCAAATATTTGATTTTATAATTTGTCATAGTAAACTCTACGTTTTTTGGTATATCCAGATTTCATGTTAATAATGTTCTATATCTTAACATATTAAAAAAATGTTGTTGTTTTTCTTACTTTTTATCTTCTTTAACCTGTGTTTATGTATGCACAAGGCAATTTCCTTGTAGCCTATGTGTAAACCTACTTGGCAATAAACCTGTTTCTGATCCTGATTAAGGAACTACCCTCCCCAGCATGTTAGACAAATATGACATATTGGGGGTTAAATAATCTTTTAGGGAATTACATTTTTTTTAATTCAATCAATACAGTCAGAATTCACCATTTTGCCCAACTTCCCCCTTTCTGCAGGGCCAATAGCGAGCAGATAAAACCTGACATATCTAAAGAGCATTTTGGAAGGTATAACAATTAGATAATTCCATAAACACACTCAAATCTATACAGACTGCTTTCATGCTGGTCAGCATCGCCCTTGTGGAAAGTCGGTAAAAACTAGGTGGCGCTAATTCACGTGAAGCAGGAAACCAGCCGCTGTTTCATCAACGAAGAAGAAAACTCACAATGTTGTCTTCCTGTTTTTTCACTCACGTGGAAGAAGAGCCCCAGCGTAAGAGCTCGTGAAGCGTGTGTCCGGCAGAAACACGAGCAAAGACCGAAAATGACGCAGTTAGACGGTGTAATGTAAGTGTGACACTCTGAAATAACTCACCGTGTTCAGGTCTGTACTCTCTTCTTGTCCAGCACTCTACAAAACTCACTTTGTTAAGACTGCTAACGCTAGCCTAGCATAGCTAGCACGTTGTTGCTAAGCACGCACTGTAAAGCTGTAGTTACAGTCTGTCATAAACATGTACTAACTATATATAACAGAACGCAGTCCAGGTGCATCACTAAACTGTTATATATTATTTATTTAGACTTTCAGCAACGACCATGGTCAGACTGAAACACAGTGCAAAGAAAGATATTATTTGTATTCTATTATAACAAATGTGTTTTTTTCGTCTCTATATTAATGTTAGCTTATTCTGTATTATTGCATGTCTTTCTTTTTTTTAAGCTGCTATGGCACTTTTGCTGTAACAATGTACATTTCCCAGCTGTGGGACTAATACAGGATTTCTGATGATAAGGGTTAGGATATATAGGGATGTAAATATATTTAATTTATACTTCTAATTCTATAATTGTATGTAGCTGTTTATGCATACTTCATAGTGGATGAACTCTAGTGACTTTTAGGGGTACGGTAAGTATAAGTTTGTCTCCCTATTCCTGCCTGTTGGTGTCAGCTGATAATACAATACATATACAATTGGAGGGATGAAACCCTCTTTAATGTCACACATACATGCACACAGTGAAATTTGACCTCTGCATTTAACCCATCCTAGTAGTAGAAGCAGTGGGTAGCTATTGTACAGCGCCCGGGGAGCAATGGGACTGAGGGGGGAAGGGGGATGACCATCAATAACCAGCAACATTACACAATAAACCATAAAGCCCCTGAGAACCAATGCCATGTTTGACACATATTTGTTTCTAAATCCTGTGGCATCTTCCCCTTCCTCAGAAAACCTAAAACAAAGCGCTCCAAGCGCTTCCTAGACAAAAGAGCGCCCAAGCTGACTGAGGATGTAAAGACCACCATGATTATGAAAGGGGGCAACGCCAGTCAGACCGTCACCCAGGCCCTCAAGGACATAGTGAGTAACCTGATGATGAAAGAAATGTATTTCACACAGTTGCATGCGCTTTTCTCAGTGTCAATTTCCAGATTATTGTACCCATGATAAAATCACACTGTGTGTTCTCCTTCTGTTACACTTTTGAAAGTAGCTCATTGTCAACTCTTCTTTATTCCAATTCGGTACGATTTTAAAGTGCCATTCTGAAAAAGAAAAAACACAGAAGATCTAATCGCAGTGTTTTATTCAGACTGCTGAGATGGGTGTAATTTGACCTAAAGCATCCCTCACATCACTACCTTCTCTTTAAATTGGACTGGTTGTGTTCTAGTGTGAATCTCTACAATAAAGTGATAAATATCACATTTATATCATAATAGGCACTTTCACACCTTTACTTTTCCCAGGAATAGTTCCGATAGTTCCTGGGATTTCACACCAAAAAGATCTGGAACTAAAACTTTTTGCGAACCTTTGCACCCCTTTTTAGTCCCTGCTAGAGAGGTGGTACTTTCCTGGGGAGAAAAAGGTTCCAATTTCTGATTGGCTGGGCGGATTGCAAACCACGCCCCGTAAAATTCTGAAAAGTTTTTGTGAAGCCGCCATTTTATTTGCTCGCATTAGCATTATTAGCATTAGCCCAGCGCACCAACGGAGAGAGGCTAACTTATGGCAACACAAAATAAAACGTGGGAGCGGTGGAGTGATGAGGAGGTGTCGCGCTTCTGGCGATTTACCCGGAAGACTTCAGTAGAAGCTGCTGGGAGTCTTCCCAGCAGCTTCTACTGAAGTCTTCCGAGTCCCCAACTCCGGGGACTTCGGGTGGCAGTATACGCCGTGAAGTTGTTTGCGGCCTGCCAGTAAACCCAAAGAAGAAGGAGAAGAAGTGACATCAGCAGCTCCCTCAGGGATTTATTCCGGTGTGAACGCGATTTACTAGATAGTTCCAGGAAATAAAAGTTCCAGGAACTATTCCTGGGAAAAGTACTTGGTGTGAAAGCGCCTATTGTATTTGTTATGTGAGTAAGAACTACTCCACGGCTGTGAAGTAAAGACATTTGATTATAGAGGAAGGTTCTTTGATGAGAGGGTGTGACAGATGATCACAGGAATACTGATGATTTCCTTTGCTGCACGCATTTCCATGAAAGCGGCTGCCTCACTAGCAGGATTATAAATTCACCATGTTTCTTCCTGCAGTACTCTCTGAAGAAGCCCAATGCTGTGCTGTACAAGAAGTAAGTGAAATTACCACTATAACAGTATATCATTATATTTTTATTTTCAAGTAATCTACCAGTTAAATTATCACGATCAACGAGCATTTAAAGAACTATTTCATGTTATTTTACTATAATTGTATTAATTATTCCTCATTTACTTGGATGGGCCCACAATCTATATTCCTGGTACTAATTCCACCGAGAATGAGAGACAGACACTGCCCTAACTACTTCTCTGAATTGAGCAGGATTCCTGGTGTCTTCTATCATCCTTTTTTAAGATAAACTATAAGACGGTGTCTATTTGCTGTAGTGATATTCCTACATTATACAGCAGAATCACTGCCGAATTTAACATAAAACAAAGCTGAATTTGAAATACATTTACACTAAATTGTCTTAAAGTGGACCTATCATGCTATATTTAAATGATATATTGTAGGGCCATACCTATATAAGGTATATTTATGCGTTTCTGTTTTCAAAATACCAAACAGATCATGATTTTAAGCCATGCCTCATTTCGCTCTATTTGCTGTTGTCCAGCACTGTTTTTGCACGGGGCTGATTCTGTGAGCTGCAGCTGACGCCCCCCTGCAGGAGAGGGGAGCCGTGCTCTGATGAAGTCAGAAGAGGGGGAGAAAAATAGATCTCCGTCCTCCGTGTTTTATTATATTATTATAGGCAGGGGTGCACATAACTTTCTCAGTGAGGTATTCAGATGAGTACCTGGAGTCAGTGTTTGGTACTCCAACTTCTGGCTCCCCTCAAAGTTCCCATGAAGCCCTCTGTATCGCGAATGTCAACGGGGGGGGTGGTAGTGGAGTACAGAGCTTCGTGACCACAGAGCGTGTGAACGTTGTGATCAGCTGTTTTAGCGCAGTGCTGCTGTACAGACCGACGTTAACAGCAGCCCTGTCTGTGCACACGGAGACCGACTCTGTCGTCCGGTGATCTAACCGCCTTCTGGAAAAGCTTCACAAGTACGTTGGTACGCAAATGCGCTTTGTGACATTTGGACTAACCGGAGAGAATTACAGTGCTTGCCTCGACGGGGAGGGATTGCATTGAATTAAAGCAGCGGGAGCAAACGCTTGCCTCGGGGAGGGAGAAAAAAAGCCACAGCGGAGAATAAACAGAAGGGTAACCATGGTAACCATGGGCGGGAAGTCTTCTTCGCTGCTTTTGTGGCAGACTACAGTGCCACTTACAGGCCTGGCATATGTACTACAGCGTCTCCAGCGCTTTAGAGCGGCAATGGCCGGCCGTGGCCCAACCCCACATTCCCCTGATAGGTGGAGAGTTGGCCCAATAGCCGTAGCGCCACTTTACTGACGTCAGGACAGTGTTCAAATCTGGATCAGTTTTTATCAGATCCGTTGCAGCCCCTTTTTTAGAGATTTAGGTATGGAGGAAAATAGAGAGGGTTGTGTTTTCTGACACTTGGTGAGTTCCCTGGAACACCGGGGACACATATTCATGTATAAAAGACGTACAAAAGTGCATTTTGCATGATAGGTCCCCTTTAAGTGAAAAGAAAAGTGTTTAAATCAATACAATAATGTTCTATGGCAAAGACGAATAAAGCCTCTAAATGATGCACACAATGGCTAAGGAATAAAAACGGTGGAAAGAATATCCGTCACTGCTGCATCAGGCAGGTCAGACTGAACCTTTGATGACACACAGGCCGGTGAGGGTTAGGAAACATGTTAACTAACTGCTGTCTATGAAATCTCTATTTGCTTTTCAGGAAGAACATAACACGACCATTTGAGGACTCAACATCACTGGTAAGTATAAACAAAAGAGGGAACTCTCCCAATGCTTTATTACAATTAAAACATTCATGTTTTCCAGTGTATTTACTAATCATTATTATCATTTGAACTCCATCAGGAATTTTTCTCTAAGAAGACAGACTGTTCTCTGTTTCTATTTGGCTCCCACAACAAGAAACGACCCAACAACCTTATATTTGGTAAACTCTCTTCCTATCTTCCTACATCACTCACACAAATCTTTGCTTTCACGTGTCGCATGTCTAAATGTATTTATTTTCTGTAATATTGAAAAATTATCACATGCTGATTGTAAGGGGTCTAGTAAACGCCCATGTTGACAAGTACCAGCCTACTGTTAACATAATCTTATTATAAAAATATGTAACACAGGAGATGGATACCCATAAACTATTCACGCTTTCTTTCAGAATGTTCATCTTTGAAGCAGTGCATGCTGAATGATGTATGTGTCACTGTTTGCAGGTCGCATGTTTGACTTTCACGTGCTGGATATGGTTGAACTTGGAGTTGAGAAGTACGTTGCTCTGAGTGAGATCAAGGTAAGCTCGGTGCCAGTAACCTGTGTTTTCTGTCTCAGTCACACTGGGATGTAGGGCTGTGCATCTTCACTGGTCTCACGATTCGATTCGATTACGATTATCCTGTCAACGATTCGATTCAATTCGATATCCCGATGCATCACGATTCATACCAATGCGTTGCATCCTCAATTTTCTATATTACTGCACATGGCTTATTTTTCATCAATGCATACATGCAGTAAATGCATATGAACTCTCTTTTTATTATTTAGAAAGTGCTTCAGAAATCAATAACATAAATGTCTTGACATTAATTTATAAACCAAATTAAATTAATTGTATAGGTCTAGCCTCCCTACATCTGTGTGTGAAGTTGTTCCATCCTCAAAAACAAAAAACTAATGCTTCTGCAGTCTAGCTGCAGCTTCTAGCAACGGTCTTCTGTTAAAAAAAGGACACTGAATGTGGCATCACACACAGGACTTGAGTCTGAACCTTTATATATACAGTCTATGGTCTGAACACAGCAGACAACAGGAGTATTTACAACAGCATATAAAAACAAAAATACTGCACACTTACATTCTCTGTCTTACTGTTACATAAATCCCATGAATGTATGAGATTAAGTTAGCTTCATTATATCTCAATCAGTGATAAAGTGAATAATAAAGTTTCTATCGGGTCACTATCAGCCTGTCACTCATTATCTTCGGGGCGGGGTTTGGAGGAACGGAGAGGAGACGGTGATCGCGGAAGCTTTTTTCACACGTACACGCGTATATATCGTCTGAAAATTGCTAGAGGACATTCATACTCTGCAATCCAAGACATAATTAAATCCACCAAAAACCTGACATGATTGTAACGCGAGTATATTTGAAAAACATAAATCCTTGTGTCTCTGAGCCGCAGTGACACGGAGTGATTCAGAGCGGGTCCTTCTGCTGTTGGTTCTGGACTGGTGTTCTTGTGTTGGTGGATAAAGCAGACTGCTCCGTGTTTGGTGTTGCTGTGCCGCTGTCACGTCTTGTTCCCTGATCTCTGCGTCACCGACCGATTTGATATTAAAAATATATTAAAAAAACGTTATAGTAAAGCCGCGGCCGGAAAATCAGGAAGCAACGTTACTACGCTATAATCGATTATCTTCCGTCACTGCATCGATACCGAATCGTCCACGTCCGCATCGCAATCATCGTAGAAACGATTATTTTCAACACCCCTACTGGGATGCAGGGTCAATGCAAGTGTATGCCCTGTTAAACCTTGAATTTTTAGCCTGTTATGTCGTTACCTACGGTTGATATACATTGAGCACTGCTTATTTTAGGGCTTTGGTCATATGCAACTCTCAATGCCATATTCATAAAAGGTCACCTATGTTTTATACATAAATATGTGTTGCCAGTGTGTTAAGAGATTCAGAAGTTTTGTCCTGATCCATCTCTATAAAAACCTGTCTGAAAATGAGCTGATCAGATTTTGGTAACTTTGTGATGTCACAATGTTTATTCGGGTTGTGCAACCATTAGCCAGTAACAAACCAAGGTAACACCTGCCCACCTTATCATCTGAATCTCCTCCTAGAGCACCATTGTGTTTTTTAAATCATCTCAGAGGGGCGTGGCCAACAGCAGCTCATTTGCATTTAAAGCTACAGATACAGAATCAGCACTTTTGAAACAGGGCTGAAACAGAGGGGTTTATGGGATGCTACAAGGATCTGTTTGGTGTTTCAGCCAAACACTTCAGAGACATGTTCTGTATATATCTGAGACCTGTTATATATTGTTGAAAAATAGTATAGGGGCTATGGGGCTTTTTCTTTCTTCACGAAACTGTGTCTCAGGGCTTCTTAACATTTAATAAACTATGAATGTGTCATACTCGCTTAACGGGAAGAAACTCAGCTAACTGACAATATGAACCATTTTTACCGAAACAAAACACAAGTCTCACAAGAAGTGTCTAAATTAGCCCTGAGCAAAAAAATGCTAACGCACTTAGCACAGAACTCTAGGTATAAATACTTTATTACTTATCGGATCTGCACAAACAAGATATTAGCTAGCAAGCTGAGATTCCACAGATTCCAGAAATATAAGTATCATCACTGAGCGATCAGAACTCGCGACATTGGAAGCAAACCCAGACAACACACGACGTAGCTTTATGGAGCAAAAACGGGAGAAATGTCTTACCTTTTGCTGTTTCTGATCAAAAGTTGTGTTCAATGGCATTAAAACGAGAAAAACGCTGCTGAAGGTTAATCCAATGTGTCTGGTTCCCTTTGAAATGATTACTGATAATCCATCATTCCATTTTTATGTCAAAAACTGAGTTTTCATATTAGCTGCTATGATAGCTACCAGATTGTATGACAGCTTCCTGTTTTGGGTATTCTGGCTAGCATCACTCTCACTCCTTATTTGGTAAGGTGGATTTAGGAACCTCCCCTCGATTCTATTGGCTCTGACGGTTATAAAGAGATGTCAATCATCAAAATCGACCAAGGGGGGCCGGAGATATGGAAAATCCACCCAAATGACCCCAGACGTGGTTTCTTTTTGCTAAACCTCTCTGAAAAGGTCAAATGTCACTTGTTTTGCATCAATCTTGATACAGGGTACTTATTATATGTTTATAGTTTGGATTCCTAAAGCTTTTAGTCCAGGGCTCTCGGCTAACTTTTTTCACCATCCTCCCGGAACCGTCCCGAAATACAATCTAAGCCGTCCCGAAATTAATGTGGACCGTCCCGAATTTAAAATATTAGTTTTTCTACATTATCATTAGTTAAAATCATTCAAAGTGACCTTTAACATAAATAAAACATCATACAAATCATTAGATGATAATTCATCAACCTTTTTAATTGAGTAAATCAGTCAAACACATAAACAAAGGCCAAATATATTTAAAAAAAACACAAGCGAGAAAGTTACTCTAATATTGAATCCAATCAAGTTCCATCCAATTATCAAAAACATCCAACACTCTGTCCTGAAGACAGAAGACAGAACCCAGAGTAACCACTAACCAGGATGACAGTCTGTAACACAGTCAGGAGACCTTTACAAACTGCCCCGCCCCCTCGCACACAGACGGGGGAGAGAGCTCTCGTCTGGATTGGAAAGATCGAAAATAAGATCGAAAATACATCATAGACGCATTTTGTAGACTTATTGCATATTAGAAACGGAGTTGGCGAAACTAAAACTGCGATATAATGTTCATGTAGCAATAATACATGACATATATGTTTTAAATGTCTCCACTACCGATAAAAAGTCAGATAACTTCGGAGCTTAACGCTACCACTGTCTTTAATAATTCCGGCCCGGGGCCCATTTAATACCGGGGCTCGGTACCCATCCCTACATGGGGAGAGACGCAGCATATTGCTAAGGACTAAATACGATGGAGAGTTCTCATCTCAGCCTTATTACCCATAGGGGATGAAGAGGAGTTAGTAAATAAAGAGGCCGGCGCTCCAGGGTTAGGTTCTGCTGTGCGTTTTCGTGATGTAACGTAAACAATTGCAGAATTCCTCCACGGGATGCCATTGTCATTGTACATCACTCAACGCGAAATACACAAACTCAGTACATAGCTAGACCCACTAATTTGCGGGCCAGGAGTTTGCGGGCACAGCTGTGTGTGTGTGTGTGTGTGTGTGTATTTCGCGGTTTGCTAAATGTTTTGTGCGTGTGTGTTTATGTTGACAAGGAGGTTTAATAACTGTGTGCTACACAAAACGTGCAGTCAGTTTCATTTTCATCGCCGTTCGTACTGTAGTAGAGTTATCAGGGTATTTTTATTTTAAAGGGCCCATGTCATGGCCATTTCCACTGATCATAATTACATTGTTGAGGTATACTAAAATAGATTTATACTGTGCAATTTTCCAAACTCACATTGGTTTCGCATACAGCATCTCTGTCAAGCATGTGTATTCAGCAGTATTCACTTTCTCCACTAAACGACTCGTTGGAGCTCTTGCCCCCCCCTCCCTGTGAGCCTAGTGTGCTCCGATTGGTCAGCTCGGCCACTCGTTCTGATTAGTCAACCACCAGAGAGGCTGCGCCCATGTCAGTGCTTTTCCCGGCTGCTCTCAGCGTAACATCAGTCTTATCATGGCGTCGGTACAGCGGTATATTTTATATACATATATATTTTTAACTGTTGTTATAGAAGAGTGTGACGGCCCCAGGGCCTTTGTCTTACGATGGGGTGGAGCTGAAGAGGGTAATCAGCACGATCACGGACACCTCCGGACACTACGGCCCCAGTCTCTCTCCAAAGCGGCTGCAGGAAGACTAACTCTGCGATCCTCTCAACCACCTATCTTTGCATTTACCACAATAAATGTGCCGTGGTTTTGTAAACTCGTGTATGTCTCCTTGTCTTTCCGTTGTGGCCTACGAGCTACTCTCATAACAAAGAGTAAGTTATTTTTACCCGTTATAAACTACTACTGTTTGATGAGAAATCAAATCATGGTTTGCTATATATGAATTCAGGGAAGAAAGGATAGGCCTACTAAGTATTTCCATTAAACTTTATTTTTAGAAATGTACAAAATGAACATAAATATACATATATACACGGTATATCATCCATTCCTCCTCCTCTTGCCTGCGCACAGCCGGTGCGGTGCGGTGCCTTTTAGCACCCTCAGTAGAATCCCTTCCCCGTCATGGATTGTCCGCCAGGATCTGGCTGGACGAAATCAAATGCAAATCACAAAATATTAGAGAAACTTAGTTGTTTTAGATTCGTTAGTAGTAGTTGTGTAATGAACAGCTTGCCTGCTAATATGCTAACCTAGCTTTGTTTACCTTGGTAGCTAACACGATATGAACGTTAGCTTGGAGGAAAGGCAACTATAATGCAGTGTAATAAAACTACTATGAACAAAAGCTAGTGGTTCATATTAGGCTAGCAATAACGTGTTTATAATTGCAATCGTATACGGGTATTCTGCTACCATACAATGTAACTTGCATGAATACATTGTTTTGCGCTAGCATACAGCTAGCCTCGTTAGCTACATGCAGTATATGTACGGTCACAATGTACGGTAAACCGGAGTATACTGTATGAGTATTCCGTGTGTGTGACTGCAGACATTCTCCTGCCATGACAAACATGTAAGGCCATCTGCTGACATTGTAGTTGATATATTTAAACGCTAGCAACGTAGCATCACAAAAATGTTTTTCTGACCAAAACTAGCTCAAGCTCCGTGTGTTAGATCGCTACGCCAGCTATAATGTAATTACGTTTCGCGACTGACCGGCAAATCACCCGCAGTATACTGTCAATAGGTATTTTGTGTGTGAATGCAGACATTCTCCTGCTATGAGATACATGTATGCAAGGCCATCTGCTGATATTAGAGTTGATATATGGAAACTCTAGCAACTTAGTTAGCACAGTTAGCACTGTGTCAATGGCTTAGCAGTCCAACACAGTTTACACATTTAAACAGTCTTGTTTGATAAATACACAAATAACAATGCAAACTTACAGGTTGTATACCCAGATCTTCCCCTGCTCCAAACGGTCCAAACAAGCTGTGCATATCCGGCCTCAAACTGGGCAATGTTTTGGAAGCTTTCGTCTGTGAAATGCCGGTTCTTCGAACCTCTGGAGGAGGAACACGCCGCTGCTGGTGTGGCCATAGCTCTTCGGGATTGGTCCATTTCGTTCCGGGTACCGCATGACATCAGGCGGTACCCGGAACTAAATGGAAGACTCAAATGGGCAGTGACGTATCTCCAACGAGGCGTTTTGGGGAGGTATTTTCTGTGTTAGAGTTTTACTCGCTACAGGGTGTACTTTGAGGGTTTTGACTCTGCACACCGTTTGCATGCATAAAAACCTTCATAACACACAAGGGGACGGGTAATAACCGGAAAAGCATGACATGGGAGCTTTAACTCTCGTCCCAAATTCGTCCCAAGATTATTTTTTATCCTCCCCGACCCTATTTTTTTCGACGACGGGACGTCCTTAAGCTCGAGCCCTGTTTTAGTCTACTATCCCATCATTCAAGGGTGGTTTTCACTATAAGTAATGTTTTGTTTTTTTGGACGGACACTATAATTTACATTTTTTGACTATGTTCAATCTGAATTTACTTTTTAAAATAAAAAAAAATCTATATTGATTCTGACTTTTCTACATCCAACTCACAGGTTTATCATTACTTTGAGAAAAAATATTATTAATTTACCCCTTTTTAGAAGTGAAGTTATGGTCATTTGTTCTGGGAATGTCATTTTCGAGCCTGAGACCTGGAAAACAGGCTCGGGGCTTGAGAGTTGAAAATCTCATTAAAATAATGAGAGGCGTAACACGTTTTAGTGCGGTGGGTTTTCATCTGAACTCAATAAGAACAGTCCTTTCTTTCAAGGGGTGCTTTGCCCTCAAAATATGAAGCTTTTGAAAACCCTTTACCCATAATGGTGGCTCAGTAATGGCATTATCTTATGTAACATATTTTGCCTTATATTTGGAAAATGATAACAAATATATAATTGAAAAAGCTAAGAATCACCCTTTTCCAATGAGTGTGAATGGGCGCATCATGTAATGTGTGGTGACTATTGCCACTCAATATCACCGAGGGATTGCTGAACAAATTATTGCTTTTTTAATACCATTTAAGCGTCTTTGAGCATTAGGAAAAGCGCTATACAAATCCCATGTATTATACTATGGAACTCACTACCCAAACCCATCATAGACTCATCCTCCCTCACCGCATTCAAAAAATCACTCAAAACCCACCTGTTCAACACTGTATTCAAACTCTGACCACCCCCCCCCCCCCCCCCCATTTTCTGTTTTTGCTTGTCTCTTTTTGTATTTCTCTTTGTTTTTTTGTATTGATTTAGTCTCAGTCAAAGCGTCTTTGAGTTTCTAGAAAAGCGCTGAACCTTTTTCCAGAGGTGTAGATTTGTATAGGATACAAAGATGACATGTCAGTCGCAGTCACATACCACAAATGCGATCATTATTTTCTGTGCAGTTTTTTTTTATGTTTGAGAGTAAACTGGTGATTCCACACTGTATCTGTTTCTATTGCAGAACAGTAAATGTCCTGAGGGGACCAAACCGATGCTAGTGTTTGCAGGCGAGGCTTTTGATACAGACAACGAACACAAACGTCTGAAGAGTCTGCTCATAGGTAAACAATTATAATACTCAGAGAATGCATCTCTTAGAAAAGTTTTTTTGTGCTAATATCAGTTATGTCCACCTCTCAGACTTCTTCAGAGGTCCCACTGTGTCCGCTGTGCGACTGGCAGGGTTGGAACACGTCCTGCACTTCACAGCCCTGGATGGGAAGATCTATATGCGCAGCTACAGGTAAAATAGATGTGCTCAAAAATGGTGTTAAGAAAATAAGGCCTGGGTGTGGACTGTATGATGTTCATGTGTGATATTGAATAGATGGTTTAAAAAAAAAAAAAAAAAGTTCTTGGTGAAAAATATATAATGGAGAATTGTCTAACCCTAACCCTCCTTTAGATCATTCTGTATGAAAATCAAACCTTGGTAAAGCAGGCAGCGCCATGTTTCTTTCTGCAACACACCCCCTACGACGGAGATGTTAATGTTTGTCATTGCAGGTCTGTGTTGAAGAAGTCTGGGTGCCGCACGCCGCGGATAGAGCTGGAGGAGATGGGGCCATCATTTGACCTGGTCTTAAGAAGAACACATCTGGCTTCAGATGACCTGTACAAGTTAGCTCACAGGAAGCCCAAAGCTCTGAAGGTAACAATCACCGTTCTCCAAGCTTTGACAGGAGATGGAAAGGAAAGCAGGGGCTTTTCTTGACTATGTTCATTTGTGTTTGCCTAATCATAGTCTATTATAGGCAAATGAATGGCCCAATGAGGCTGCTCATGTACTGGTTACTCTTCACTGCACGGTACCACTCGGCTCACCTCTTGTACAAAGCACTTTTCAGAATTTAGTTTTCCAACGCACTTCTGACTTTTTATGGTTAACATAGTTACAAAATGTAGCATTTAAAAATATGTAATCACAATTCATTATAGTTCGCTATGATTTACACATTTCCTGAAGTAAAACAAAATAAGAGCGAGTGGAATGGAGAAGGGACAACACGGCATTAGATCCTGACTCAGTGTGCATTGAAAATGATTGCCCTGATGATGGCACCAGAGGGAAGATCACATTGTTGCCTAGCTTTGTCGAACTGTTAACATTCTCACTTTAAATGAAAAAAAACAAAACGTAATAGTGTTATTTTGAAAGACCTGACATATTGGAGGTCTCTGTTGGTATTCTCGGCCTTTAGCTTCTCGCAGGTGATTTTTTTTCCTCAAGAATGTTTCCCAAGAGAGATATTCATGCCTTTATCGCCACAGTTAGAATGGTATGTGGGAGGTTTTCTCACTGGAAACAGAAAACGCAGGATGTATTAGTCAAACTGACATGTTTATGCTTCTCTTTATCACTGTTACAGGCCAAGAAGAAGAAGAACATTTCCCATAATGTCTTTGGCACCAAGTTTGGCCGGGTCCACATGCAGAAGCAGGATCTGGCCAAGCTGCAGACCCGTAAGATGAAAGGCCTGAGGAAGAGGAGGGGGGATGTGGTCGCTGAAGACCAGGACGCACAGGCACCCAAAGTGGTTAAAGTGGACAGCAGCGCTGCATAAACTCCCCGTTCATCAGACTGACATGTGCTGATCCTTGACACCCTTTACTGTCTTGTGAGCAGCCCCGAGGCAGAGGGGATACACATCTATTAAACCTGCCACTATTGCTTTACTCATTACATGTGACTTCTTTGTCTTGAGCATCATGACTGTGTTGTCTCAGTTCTCTGGTCAAACTCATGAGCATCAGGACTTGGGTTATGTGGAAGTCGGCCTTAAACTGGCTGAAGTTCCTTCTGTAACTTGTAAAGAGTTTGTAAAATGGGATTTTACCGGCAGCCTTAAAACAAATAAAAGTCTCTAACCTGTCAAGTTGTTAAAAAAAAAATCTAATTTATGATTATTTTCGTTCCTGTCTTCCGTAAACATAAGTCTTTGTAAATATGAGAAGTGTATTATATTACTGCAGGGCCAGCGTTAGCCAGAGTCTCTAGGCCAGGGGTGGGGAACCTCCGGCCCCCGGGCCGTATACGGCCCGCGAGACCATTTGGTACGGCCCTCGAGGTAATTTATAAACACACGCAAAAAAGAAAACAAATTAAGAAATCTAGACCGCAAAAAAATTAAACAAGCTAGTGCCTGTTTTTCCTGGCCAAGGTCAGGGTCCTTGAACACAACACGAGCCTAACGTGTCATCACGTGGTATATGTCTGGTCTGACGGGTGTAGTTCTGACGGAGAGCACCAGAACACCGCTCCGCCACTTCAGAAATGTCAGTACCCATACGGAGCCGTACACATGCCACAGTTTCTGCGTGGCTGTGTCTTTAGTTGAAAGCCCAGTGGCGATCTATTCATCTGTCATACTGATCATACAGTCAATAACTTTGTTGTTATTAGCATCTGGTTAGCTAGCTATGCTAACGAATATAAGAAGCTTCTACAACCAGTGAGGTAAAGGCACATCTTTATATGATCATTATAGTTATACAAAAATAAGAAAGTAAAAACTGGTATAAAATACTATATGACAGTGAAAGAAGTTGTTATTAATAAACAAGAATACAGTTGGGGAGTGATTTGTAAAATATCCATAAAGAAAAAGAAATCTGCTTACAGTTCTGTTTCATATGGATGTTGAGAGATGTATCCATAGATCTCTTAATGTAACCATGAGACGATACTATTGCTAAAAAGTTGGAAAGAGGCAAAGATGGCAATGCAAAAGTGATATGCACAGCCACAACGCCGCTAACGTAGCTGCGAGTGACTCCATCAGCAGCAGCGCAAGTGAGTCCACAATAAAGAGACACAAACCAGTTCGGAATCACAACCAGGGTTACATGAAATTTGGATTCAGTTGCAGTGGGACAGATAATGAGCCCAGACCACAGTGCGTGATTTGTGGTGAAGTGATAAGTAATGATAAACCATCGCACCTCCAACGGCACCTTACAACTAAACACGCCCACCTGAAAGACAAGCCAGCGGAATTCTTTACAAGAAAATGTGATGCACTGAATAAGTGCAAGTCAACGATCCAATCCAGCTGTACACCCACAGCCAATAGCAAACATCAGCAGACTGAAGATGAGCTATTAGCCCTTAGGCTCATCTGCTCCTGGAGGCTTTCATTATTATTGTGGAACTGAATTCCCAATATGACATTTTCTGTTACAATGTAGGTTGTTGCAGGAGGCCTACATTCAAACTTTGGTATAGAGTGGCGAAGTCCCTCCCACTTACTTCCGGGGTATGGGACCTTATTCCGGAAAAGTTATGCATTGAAGTCAATGGGGAGAGAAAACTTATCTTTCGATCCCGTTTGAATTGTGCCATGAATTACACATATGATGTTTGTCAATCTTAAAAAATCATTTCCATGTCAAAAAAGTCACAGTTTGTCTTAAAACTGTTGAAATATAAGACTTTGAAAAATACGAAACTAGAAAGACTACAAATCCCAGAGTAAGTGATGTCACAATTGAGACACTACGATACACGTATAATACCGTATATATACGATCAGCGCCATATAGATAGAATCTATCTATATGGCGCTGGCTAAGATAAGATAACTTTGTGCCTGTGTGCTTAGTACCAGGTTGTTATTATACCAGCAATGGGTCTTGCTCGTTCTTTCGCTTCCCGTCTGATGAAAGAGGAGTGTGTGGATCAAGTTAGCTACCTAGCTAGTAGCTAGCACGTTAGTTAGCATTACAGCCTTGTCATTTTTATTAGCCTTAACATGAAGTAACATTAAGTAACCCAAAATGTTAAACAGTAAGAGTAGTAGTCATATTTCGTGAACCCTTTGAATAGTACTGTCACCGGTGTGATCATTCTATAATACACAATTTAAGCCCGGGGGAGAAATGCTAACGCTAACGCTAGCGATCTTCTCTACTTCATGCTATCTGCACAAATGGTTGACATTAAACATTAAAACGACCAGGCAGTTCAGAGAGAATCAAAGGAAGGAAGGCAGGCAGCTTTGCATGACATTCTTCAGGACGTGTTTCATTATAGTGATAGTGAGGGTAGTCTCTTGTGTTGACAAGACAGTAGTGACGGCCATCTTGGTGACGTGTGTTGTTGACCAGAGATCAGATGTAGTTCTTTGAGCGTTTCACACAAACAAATGTGTTACTTCACAGTTTTACGACACATTTTTTTTTTTTTTGACTTGCAAAATTATCTTTTAAATTGACAAACAACATATGTGTAATTCATGGCACAATTCAAACGGGATCGAAAGATAATCTTTCTCTCTCCATTGACTTCAATACATAATTTTTCCGAAATAAGGTCCCATGGAGGTCCACCGGAAGGGGAGGGACTTCGCCACTCTATATGATGTTTGTCAATTTAAAAGATAATTTTGCAAGTAAAAAAAAAAAAAATGTGTCGTAAAACTGTGAAGTAACACATTTGTTTGTGTGAAACGCTCAATGAACTACATCTCTGGTCAACAACACACGTCACCAAGATGGCCGTCACTATTGTCTTGTCAACAAAACGATTGACTACCCTCACTATCACCACAATGAAACACGTCCTGAAGAATGTCATGCAAAGCTGCATTCCTGCCTTCCTTTGATTCTCTCTGAACTGCCTGGTCGTTTTAATGTTTAATGTCAACCATTTGTGCAGATAGCATGAAGTAGAGAAGATCGTCGATGCTAGCGTTAGCGTTAGCATTTCTCCCCCGGGCTTAAATTGTGTATTATAGAATGATCACACCAGTGACAGTACTCTTCAAAGGGTTCACGAAATATGACTACTACTCTTACTGTTTAGATAGATAGATAGATAGATCGTACTTTATTGATCCCAAATTGGGAAATTGTTCTTGTTACAGCAGCATAAAAGGCATTTTACAATAAAACAAAATATACAAGAATAGAAATAAAATAAAATATAAAATATAAAATATAAAATATACATGTCGAAATAGAAAATATACATGCAGATATTATATATATATATACATCAGTGACGTGCGGTGAGGTTCATGGCTGGTGAGGCACTGACTCTTTCAGAGTCAGATTTACAAATATTATAGCCTATTTTGACCTTAATCGAAATATTCTGTTATTTTCAAAAGCTTTTTTAGTCTGATGCTATGATTAATTTTAAACAGACCGATCAACAAAAGGATACCCAAAATCTAAATATTGGATTGTTCTTTCTAAGTAAGATCCCATTTTCATTACAGTTGTGGTCTTACCTTGACTTGAAGATGAATAGAAGTCCATGCTATCCTTCTGGACAACAATCTCTATTACTGTTTTGTAAAAGTCGTCCTTATCTTCCTGTAGTTTCAAAAGTCGAGTTTGTTGTTTGCGGTAGAATAACAGTAGCAACAAGAACCTGTGGGCTCACGTGCGCCCCCTTCAGTGCGGCAGAGGTTATGGCTGCCTCCCCTTGTGATTTTTTCATTGCCGTTGTATATGTGTAGCGAGCCTAAATATCATATATACGTGAAATAAGTTATTTAGAGACTATGGATGGCGAGGATAAATGTAATAAAGGGATCTACAAACATTACATTGGTGACCTACAGTGAGATGGGAACAGGCATGCGCTTAGGGTTCGCTTTCCAGCCAGTTTCTGTGGGGTGACGCATTCTGAAGTGAGGCAGATCTCATCTGTGCCTCACCTACCCCACAGTAAATGGCTTGAGCGCGCTCACAAAATAAGTGGCCGCGCTAAATTAGTGCCCGCGCTCCAGCAAGTTACTGGGGCCTTACGAGAGGCAGAGCTCGTGCCTGCCTCACTTCTCATCGCTCCCGTAGCGGAGCTCGGCAAATTTGCTGATTTTGACTATAAAATGCGATTGGAATCATACAGAAATCACATTTACACAAGATCAGTGGAGACATTTTATTATTATTATTATTTAGTTTTTCTTTAATTGTTTTTCCGTTACATTGGAGTATGACAGGTGAGGCTCTGCCTCCCCTGCCTCCACTGACTGCACGTCGCTGATATACATATATATATATATTCAAAATATATGGAATTATGGAGTATTAAATATGAAACAGATTATGTATGAGTAAAATGTACAACGTGGTTTTATTTCTTGAGAAACTATGGAGCAGAGAGTTCTCTTCCAGCCAGAGGTGATTTATTGTACAGTGTTATTGCAGTGGGCAGGAATGTTTTCCAGTATCTGTCCTTGTGACAGGGGAGCTGCAGCAGTCTGTTGGAGAAGAACATTTTGGGTTACTTAATGTTACTTCATGTTAAGGCTAATAAAAATGACAAGGCTGTAATGCTAACTAACGTGCTAGCTACTAGCTAGGTAGCTAACTTGATCAAGCCACTCCTGGTCCTTTCATCAGACGGGAAGCAAAAGAACGAGCAAGACCCATTGCTAGTATAATAACAACCTGGTACTAAGCACACAGGCATCTTGTTAAAGTTATCTTATCTTAGCCAGCGCCATATAGATAGATTATATCTATATGGCGCTGATCTTAGCTATCTCTTAGTGGAGGAAAACAATTGTGACATCACTTACGCGACTCTGGGATTTGTAGTCTTTCTAGTTACGTATTTTTCATAGTCTTATATTTCAACAGTTTTACGACAAACTGTGACTTTTTTGACATGGAAATTATTTTTTAAGATTGACAAACATCATATGTGACCTGCTCTATCGAAATCAGTCGCATTGACCCGAAGACACATTTTGAGTTGTATACACTGTTGGAAAGAGGAGATTCCTAGCTTTCTAATGATATCAAGATTGTTTTTGTACTCCAAATATTAAGCAAAATATGTCACATTATATAATGACTGTCACCGAGTCATCATTTTGAGAAAAAGGCCTTCAAAGTTTCCTCTTCTCTGGAATCCATC